TACTTAACTTACTTTCCACAATAAGAACATAGAAAAACAGAATACTTTCATAATCATACAGTACACAATGCAATTTTTTGTCTCTGTCAATGGTAAACATGTCAATGTTCTATACTGAGAAAAAAACCCAAAATGAATGCAAACTGAAGCAAGCTAAGAAAAGAACACATACAATACGCCATTAAAATAGTAAACCTGTGCCATCCCATTATCATCAAAAAGATTCTTATCCACAGAGAAGATGTGAATCTGAAAACAGTGTGTCAGAACAAATGTAGAAATACCAGTGTCCTTGTGGGAACAGTCAAAAAGTTAAGCATTATTGAAGCCACACCATTTTGATTTGTACATTAAAGAGCTTCTCTCTGATTGCCCTCTTGACATCCTCCCCACATAAACACAAAGTAGAACAACCAATTAATAAGCTTAGATAGTGAAGAAGATGCATTGAAACCAATATATCAGGAAGGCCTACTCAATGTTGGAGAGACCAAACTGACTACAGAAAAGACCAAATAAAAAACAGAAAAGAGACGTGGGAAGACAAAGTATTATTACATAGCCAGTACATTAAAAAAAAATAGCAGGCAAAGCAAATAACAACAAGATTTTGCAATGGCTAAGAGCAAGAAAATTGAAGAAAGAGGCAAAGGGGCTAATAGTGGGTGTACAAGGCCAAATCTTAAGAATAAATGAATACAACGCCAGAACTGAGAAGACAGCAACAAACAGCAAGTACTATCTCTGCAAAGAAGCTGAAGAAACAGTGGATCACTTGGTTAGCAGCTGCAAGATCACACAGACTGACTACAAACAATGGGGGTGATGAAGTAGCAAGAATAGCGCATTGGAAAATATGCAACAAATACCATTTTCCTACAAGCAAAAATTGTGCAACCATAAAATAGAAAGTCATAGCAAATGAAAACGCTAAAGTGCTGTGGAACTTTAAAATTCAAACAGACAGACACTTGCCACATAAACCCCAGACATAATAATTGTTGATAAAATTGATACATTGATAAAAATGCCAAATGCAGTCCAAACATCTGACTGACTATGCAACTGACCATAACAATAGAAATAGCACTTAAACTTATACACTGCTCCATAGTGCTTTATACCACTCTCTGGGCAGTTTATAATGTCACCAGATTTTCCCCAACATTCTGGCTCCTCATTTTACTGACCTTGCAGGGATGGAAGTCTGAGTCAACCTTGAGCCCTGTCAGGTTTGAACTTCAGACTGTGAATAGCTGTTTGCCTGCAATACTATATTCTAATCACTGTGGCACCAATTATTATTATTATTATTATTGTTGTTGTTATTTTCAAAATACATATCCAAGTAGTGATAATAAATCCTAAATTAAAGTAATCTGAATACTTCTTTCTTATCTCAGTGAAATATTATGTGCTTTCAGGAAAGCATTTTATAAGTTTGTAAAGTAGTAAAATTTAGGTCTGATAGATACTGAGTGATTTCTGTTTCCTAAGAGTGAAAAAATGGAATAGAAGTCAAATCTGCAAATGATTAAAAAAGAAAGTTATAGCGTAAATCTCAAATTATTGGAATATAATTGAATAGTAATGAAACCAGCCAAATCGAATTCCACACAACTAAATGCAGGAGCCTGGATTTAAAAATCCCATCCCACTTCATCTTCACACAATATAAAACACAGGAACAAGCAGCAGCCAGCACTAAATATGGAGAGAATTCTGAGATTGAAAATCTGTGCATCACCAATCTAACTGTAATCTGAATCAACAAGCCAATCTCTTTCCACACCTACAAAGTAACAAGCTTCTTCTTCATTTTTGTTAAGAAACCTACTTTCTCGCATGCCTTGTGTACAAGCCCTGCCTTTGATACTAGATATTGCCCTTTAAGGGACCAGACAGAGAGTCTCCACATGTCGAACTGTATGCCGTTACTTTACCAAGTCTTTATCAACGTATCTGCTGCTATGATTGGTACTTGGGTAGGATTACACAAGCACAAAGTATCAGAAGGCATAGGCCCATTCTGATTTCTATAGGCAGAAACCCCTCTTTTTGATCATATGAATAAGGCTACAACCACATTACTCTACACTACCTCGTAGAGATCTATGTTCAGTTCTAGGCACTGCATTTTCAGAAGTGGGGAGTTGAACTGGACAGTTTCAGAAGAAGGCAACGAATAGGAATATGGAAAAGAAAGGCTACAAGGAATATAAGAGTATTTTATATAATATAGTATTAGAATATTTTATTTCAGTAGTTTTATAAAGATTCAGATACCATGTCTCATTTTGTTTTCTTTGGGATTTCAATCAACCAGAATAGAGCTGCAAGGGACCTTGGAAGCCTTGTAGTCCAACCCCTGCTCAAGCAGGAGACCCTATGCCAGTGGTGTCTAACCTTTTTGGGCTCCTGTGCCAAAACTTGTGCGTGCGCTTGCACGCTTGCACTTGCATGCCAGCACCCAGAAGGCAGTGCACGCCCCCCACGCCTCCTATGCATGCATGCGTAATCCCCATCCCCGCCGCCCCTTACCAGCACTACACCTCACAGCTGATTTTCAGTGGGTTTGAGGCCTTTTTTGGCCTCCCAAAGGCTTGAGGAAGGCTTCTGTAGGCTTTGCAGGCTGAAAACTATCCCCGTTTCATCATTTCCAATATTTTTGGAAAAACAGGAAGTGGTGAAACGGGACTAGTTTTCAGCCTGCAAAGCCTGCAGAAGCCCTCCTCAAGTCTTTGGGAGGCCAAAAAAGGCCTCAAACCTGCCAAAAATCAGCTGTGAGGCACGCGCATGCCTAGTGAGGTAAGTTTGCCTGCAGCTTGCGTGCCAACACAAATGGCTCTGTGTGCCACCTGTAGCACGCGTGCCATAGGTTCGCCATCATGGCCCTATACTAATTGAGACAAGTGGCTGTCCAGTCTTTTCTTAAAAACCTCCAGTGGTGAAGCACTCACAAATTCTGAAGACAAGCCATTTGCACTGTTAGGAAGTTTTCCCCCAGTTCTCGGTTGTTCCCCTCTTCTCGATTAGTTTCCATCCATTGTTTCTTGTCCTGCCCCTCTGGTGCTTTGGAGAATAAGTTGTCCCCCTCTTCTTTGTGAACCTTCTCATGCTTCATTGTTCACAGATAGTTAAAATAGTTTACCCAGAAAACTGAGATGAGGTGTACATTCTAAGGACAGTTCTTCTTTTAGATAAGATTTAGAGGCCCTGGCAAGGAAGAAAGAAAGTTCCTTGTATGGAATGATGTGAGAAGGGAAACGAGTGACTGTTTAGTGGGCATTCAATAGCAGTGGCTGATCGTAATGTACTTAACCTCTGCTGAATGGAGGGAGTCCTCAGGGCTGCTCACCTAGTACCTTGCTACCATCTCTCTTAGGTGAAAATAAAGGCTTAATTTAAAAATAAGTACATGAAAATATTCTACTACTATATTATATAAAACACTGTTAAGAGGAAAGGGTGAAGGTACAGAGTAAGTTTAGCGTGGGGGAGAAAAGATTAAAATTCCAGCACTCTTTATATTTTCTGAAGAAGTACTACAGGGATGTATTCCCATTTGCCTTCTGTACCTAGAAGGCAAAAAACAAGGCTTACAGGCTCAGGTTATAGGCAGTTTAATTTTGCTGAACATTACAGAAAGCCTCTTGATACTGAGCCATTTGGCCAAACAAATGATGTTAAAACTGCTAAGCTCTTTCAATGGAGAGTTTCCAGCCAAAACTGGTCTCCGTAGGTGCTCATCTCTTAGATTTCTGTACTGGGCAGGGGATTAACTCAGTTGCCCCAAGGGGCCTCCTCCATGATATATTTATGTAGGCTGGCTAGGTGTTATTGTTTGGGACTGAAAAATTAAACTAAAAACCAACTGTGTTACAACACTCCATATGTTGCATATGTCTGGATTAATATGTTCCAAACAAGCTTTGCACAACAATGAATATGAGAGTGACACCAAAGAAATTCAGTGTACTACCTACACAGAACTTCCTCTTCTGAAGCCAAGTGCTACTAGCACGAAGGCATTCCAACAATGAAATCATTTTGTATATTTTTTATTTGTTCAAGGACGGAAATAGTTTGATGAATAAAGAAGAAACGCTATTGTCAAGGAAGCCCAGAGCATACAGACTCGGAATTCCACATTCTTTTGCTTACTATAACAAAAGTTAGTTCTTCTGTTGCCCAACCCCAAGCACATCTTTAAAGGAAAAAAAAAACTAATTTAAAGCTCCTCTGCTTCTCTTTCTTAACTCTTCAAAAAAATCTAAGGAATAGTCAGTTCAAAGTATTGTGAAATTCCTGTTCCCTCCCTCCCTCTTTAGAATGAAATCAGATCCTGCGCTTCAAATCAGACATATTTGAAGCGCAGGGTTTGATTTCATTCTAAAGATAAATCAATGCAATGTCTGTGTTAATGATCCTGATTACTTATTCAAAAGAAAGTTGCAGAATAATATTGGGGAAGGTAATTTCCCATACCTTTACATCCAAAGAAACCTGAGCAGTGTGTCACTTGTATGGGAACAATCTGGCAACTGGTTTTAGTTGCCTTGCTGTATGTATATTTTAAGGACAGAAGTTGGTGCAAAAAAAAGTCCAAGATTCATCTCACCCAGCATCCTGTTTTCAATGTGGGGCAACTGGATACTTCCAAAAACTGAAGCAAGGCATGAAGGACTGGTCTCCTCTGTTGCTTTGTTCCACCAATTTATATTCAGAACTGCAACGTCTCTGAATACAAGGTTTTAGTAACCATCATGACCCATGGCCTTTGGCAGGCTCAATCGTATTGCTTTTTCGAGTTGTAAAACAAGAAAATGCTCCTTGTTTCTTTTGCAAGGCACTAATTAAAAGTCCCATTTGGATCAGACATACAACCTCTGCAACGTTCACAATCGTTTTGTGCAAAACGACTTGCCACCTAGCTATGCCCACCGGCATTTGGGGGAGGGGGGGAGAAACGTACAATATCGGGCAGCTGATTAACCGCAGAGCCGGGCCCTCCTGCCGCCGTCTCTGCAAGAAAGAGGCAGCTCTGCAGGAAGTTCGCCCGGAGTCAAGTGCTAATCGGACCATGTGATCGCTGTGCCCGATTAGAGGTTAGTTCTGGGGAGCTCCAGGCTAGAAGAGAACATCGGAGAAATCTAGTGTGGAAAGCATGTGACAGAGACTTTTTGTGTGCGTGTGTGTGTTTTAACAGGCTTTGCAGCAGAAAAGAGGCAGAGGTCTGGGCAATACCTAGCCAACAGAGCTATCACCAGGCAAGAAAGAGAATCAGCCCTTGTGAAGTTCAGGTGCTGTTTGTTAAAGACGTTTGCCCAGCAGAACTGACCGTCGAGCGGGCAAGAACCTAGACGCGGGGGATCGAACGAAGGTAAGGCTCTGTGACTGAAAATAGGTGACAGGCAAGGAACCTTTGTAGTAGAGGCCCTGCCTGCACCTTTCGGGTCTTTTTTCCTCGGGAACCGAGGCTAACTCTGAAATCCTCGCACCAATTGCAATTTGGCAACTAGCATTTTAGGATCAAAGAAAAAAGGATTACCCCCTTTTTGCATAGTAGATTTCAGCTAAAGAGAAGGGGGGGCGGAATTACAAAGGATATCCAGGAAATGAAAAGTGGCAGGTGAAAGAACACTAAGCCTTTCTGCTCTTTTTCTTTTCCAGAAATAAATAATAATAATAAATTAACTATTACTTTAAATGTTAATTGTATCAGCCATTTCTAATATCTCCTGATTAATCAGTGCAAAGGATGAAAACAAGTCATTCTCAAGTGCTTTGGAAAACTGGCCAGAGTGCTTGGAAAGGCCATGCCTATTTACGAATTAAACAAGAAAACTGGTCTTGCAAATACATTAGCCTGCCAGAAATACTTAATGGCAAACAGAAAACTGAGAGCTAATAAGTGTTTGCAAATCTGTCCAAATCCAATAAGTCTGAGCAAATGGCCTGCAGATCCAGTACTTTTTTACTCTCATAATAACACTGATTAAAAGTAAATTTTATTAGAATTCAATAACATTTTGTTTTGATTATGTGCTGCAAGTGGAACTCAGCTCTAGAGACACATACAAGTAGATTTCTTGGCAACAAGGTGGAAATGGTTTGTCTTTGCCTTCCTGTGTGTTGTGGATTTTGTTTTTCTTCATTGACTTGACTTGCGTGACTGAACTGCTAGATTTTCTCTTGGTCTCCCATCCTAGTACAACCAGGAACAGGCTACGTGTTACTACCTAACTGGGCAGAGGGAATCTTAAGCATTTTGGGTTGAAGTGTCAGTCGCATGAACTCATTTCTTCTATTCGCTTTTGACCAGCAGAGAAATCAACTAAGATAAAGGGTTTCTAAGACTCCGGCCTAGTTGGCACAGTCTCAATATGTGCCTGCTTTACTAAACATTGCAAACATTGTCCTGAACATGGTTTATGTGAGTGTAGAAACTGCCTCTGTATATAGCTTAGGACAAAAGAGATGCTCACTGCAAATAAAAGAAAGTTAAGTGGTTAAATGTACTTCACTTACACTACTGACTAGACTAAATAGAAGTGAATAACTACATCTTTTCGGCTGTAGTTATAGGGTGACTTGGCAATCCCTGGCAAGGGACAGTTTGCATGTTTCATTGCATTGAATTATGCACTTGAGCAAAGACGACTATGTTGCATCCATTTATAAATGGATATCTAAGCCATCTTTCTGTATGCAGATCCATTGAAAATAGACATTGAAGTTGAATATAAAGCTAAGCTAATCCTAAAACCAATTAGGTGTGTAAATTAACTTTGCATTGATCTTTTCCTTAAAAAGAATGGATAAAATGTCAGTTGATGGTCATGTCAATGTTTTTATTGGATATAAAATGATCTGTTAAAGCTCTAAAATGCCATTCTTGGGAATACTATGTGTTTATATTACAAGAATGGTATAGTACCCACATTTTAATATGCTGAATACTGCATGACAGATGTACAAACAAAAATCATATTTAATACATTTTGTGTGATTTGGACCCATGACCTAACTTCTCTTATCCATTATTAACTAATTTCTTAGGTTCTGTGATGGGAAGGCCCTACAGCACTGGTATCAAACACGATTTCATCAGGTGGTGTATTGCGATGTTTTATGCTTTTGTGGAGCTGGGGCAGGGGTGGGATGCTACCGGTTCTGCCCGGTTCTATAGAACCGGTAGCTCTGAAGAGCAGCAGACACTGAACCAGTTCTGTGTCTGCTGCTGTTTGGCCCACCTACCCGCCCCGGCTCTTACCTGTCCTTTATTTCCTGCTTTTCAACCTCAGCTGCTTTGCGCGGCACAGCTGAGGTTGAAAAAAGCAAGAAAAAAGAAGCTTTCCAAATGCCGTGTACCCACACACAGCATTTTTCAGCTATCCGGATGGCACAGCTTATTTTTTTTTTACACGTGCGCGCAGCACATGCGCCCGCAAAACATTACACCAAACTGGTAGTAACACCGGTTGAATCCCACCCCTGATCTGGGGTGCATGGCTTGCATGTGACGCATCTGGCCCGTGGGTCACCAGTTTTTGCCTGCCCTAGGGGACAAGGGTTTAGACACTGTACTGCTTTGTTGTCAGGGAGATTCCTAGTTTTTGCTAAAAATTCCTTCTAACTCTCCCCCCACCTCCACATACACTTCAAACAAGATCAAAATGTTAAATCTTCTGGCAAGTAGAATATCATTGTGGGACATTTGGAATTTGACAGGTGTTAAAAGATGCAAAGGGAAATCTGTAATGTATAAAATGAGGTTTCCTGCTTTGGGGAAAGTTCTGTTCTATGGCAAATAATTGCTATTTAGTTACTCCACACTAGGGGACCCTCCACACTGTTAGGGTCCAGAAATGCTCATCAAATTAGGAGCAAACTCCTGATATATTTATTTTATTTTATTTATTTATTTTGATTTGTCAATCGCTTACAAGATAATAGGTATAAGTATATACATAGTTATGAATACATGAAATGGGTACATATAAGAAAAATAAAAGAAACAACAGGACAGGGACAGTAGGCACGTTGGTGTGCTTATGCATGCCCCCTACAGACCTCTTAGGAAAGGGGTGAGGTCAATAGACAGTCTAAGATTAAAAGTTTTTGGGGTTTGGGGAAGAAACCACAGAGTCAGGTAGAGTATTCCAGACATTGACCACTCTGTTGCTGAAGTTGTATTTCCTGTAATCAAGTTTGGTGCGGTTAACCTTGAGTTTGTATCTATTGTATTGTTATGGTTGAAGCTGAAGTATTCATTGACAAGTAGTACATTACAATGTATGATTTTATATACTATACTTAGATCAGACCAAAGACGGTCTGTATATATAGTATATTGTCTGAGGACAATGGTATTACAAGTCATTATGGTTATTTGTTTGTTTGTTTGTATCCTTCCTTACTACTTTTACACATAATTCAAGGTGGTGAACATACCCAACACAACTTCCTTTTCCTGTTTTCCTTCCAACAACAACCCTGTGAGGTGGGTTGGGCTGAGAGAATGACTGGCCCCAAGTTATCCAGCTAGTTTTCATACCTAAGGGGGGAGGGACTTGAACTCATAATCTCTAGTGGTGTCTTAACCACTAGACCAAACTGCTTCACCTTTGCTGTGAGAATGTATTGATGTAATGCTGGCTGAGAAACTGACTGAGAGCTTTGGAGTTTGCCTGATTCACTTTGGACTGATCATTTTGATCTTCAGCATTGAGCAATGGCAAATGGCTGCATTTTCTATTTGGTTTTATTCAGAAAAAATGGCATTAACTTTGTACAGATAGTGCTCAAGTTGCAACAGTACTGGAGTCTACCAATCACTGCTATCACATGACTAACCTAATTTTAGGACCTTTTTGTAGCAGTTGTTAAGCTATGGACTAGTTTTCCTGAAAAACAGAAATGCCAGTTTTTTGCAAAACCATCATAAACTGCAGCAGTTAACTATGTATGATGGTAGAAACAGACATAAGTGCAGGTTGGTTGCTGAATGTCCAAAGTGCGGTCATGTGACTGTGGTGGGGTAACCATTGGAATTGTAAATTTGGGTTTTTAATACCCTCTGGATATATGTGTTGCAACTTCAAATGATAGCTAAGTGTCTGGAAAGATCCATTAATTGGGGGGGAGGTGTTTCTTCTGTGCTCTCACCTCAAAACTTTTTATTAATGTATCTTAATTCAGTTACTTTAGGAGAGAATTCAATAAAATGTGCAGTCATAGTATGATGTTTATTTAGCCCAAAGGTCTTCAGCTTTGGCAAATTTGAGCTAACATGACTGGAGGAGGAATTCTGGGAGTTGAAGTCCACAAGTCTTACAGCTGTCAGGTTTGAAGACCCCTGATTTAGCCATTTTTTGTTTGAAGACTCTTTGTGACAGGAGCCCCTTTTTGTGGGGAATACCCTTGCTATTGTTTTAGATATATTATGAAGACTTTGGCAAAAGAAATTACAGTTCATTTAGTGACTGTTTGAAGGTACAATGCAGTGATAGAATTCAATTTTTTTTACTACCGGTTCTTGGGCGTGGCAGGGGAAGGATACTGCAAAATCTCCAGTCAGAGGTGGTATTTGCCGGTTCTCCAAACACCCCAAAATTTCTGCTAGTCCCGGGGTCATGTGATCACCTTTTGTGACCTTCTGACAAGCATAGTCAATGGGGAAGCCAGATTCACTGAACAACCATATTACTAACTTAACAATTGATTCACTTAACAACTATGGCAAGGAAAATCATAAAACGAGGCAAAACTCACTTAACAAATGTCTCACTTAGCAAGAGAAAATTTGTACTAAACTGGAATGATACCTTATCCTGGTTGTAATAAGTTGTGTATGTACAGGACACACCATAAAAAGAATATTTGCACTATCCAAAATCTGGATCACCAATGAATACACATAGCACAACAGAACATTAAAAATGAAAATATAATGGAAACACACAAACTTTAATGATTTAAAGGGCCTGCATAGATGAGAAGCATTTGCTGGAGGCTAGTAAAATCATTGAGATAAACTTTTTGGTCAGTGGCCATCTTTCTCCTTCATTTCTGGGACTTTTATGGTTCCATTATTTAATATAATCTGACCTAAAACAATAAGGTTTTTAAAACATCATTGCTTTATTGGGCCTGGTTAAGCAGAGAGCGTACTTAATAAATGGCAGAAATTGAAGAAGCATAAAAGATTGGTTTGATATATTTCTCTCTTCATATCTAAATATGGCTGTTTGGGAGTTGAGATGCAAACATTCAATTTTAAGTTACTCGCCAGCCATTTCTCATCAGAAGATCCATTATGCTCTTTATTATATGCTATCTAATGAGCAAAAACATAACGCGTGGAACTGCCAGCAATATCTGGCTTCCTGTTGATCAATTAAGCAAATAGCTGTGTTCCTAATCATATCCAAGTAAACCGGTAAATTGATCCGCAAATCTAAAAATCAAATTTCATGTGGCAATATTTGCTCATTCAAGCAGAATGTCACATTTGTGTAGGGGCAGCTCCGTATTAATATGGGAGGAATACATGAGTGGCAACAATTATTTCATAGATATGGTCTCCAAATCAAATATAAATATAGATACAATTGTTTAGACAGACTTTTCTCCTAGTACAGTTGGTCCTCAAGTTACAACAACTCACTTAGCGATGGTTTAAAGTTATGACATCCCCAGAAGTACTTACGACATAGTCCCAAAGTTACAAATGTTCCAGCACCATGGCAGTCATTCACCCTTATGACCAACTGCAGAGACACTGCAACATTCTCCCTGCCTATGATAAAGTAGACCATAACCTGCTACTTGATAAGATAGAAAATGTGGTATAGACAGCATCACTACCAGATGGATTTTTAACTGGTTAACCAACCACACTCAACATGTAGTCCTCAATGGAACTGCATCTACACGGAGGGAAGTATGGAGTGGGTTTCCACGAGGCTCTGTTTTAGGCCCAGTGCTCTTCAACATTTTCATCAATGATTTGGACAAGATAGATAGGGAACTCATCAAATCTGCCAGTGACACCAAGCTGGCAGGAATAGCCAACACTCCAGAAGTTAGGCTTAAGATACAGAAGAAATAGCCAGCACTCCAGAAGATGGGCTTAAGGTACAGAAGAAATAGCCAACACTCCAGAAAATGGGCTTAAGATACAAAAGGATCTTGACAGACTTGAACATTGGGAGCTATCTAACAAAATGAAATGCAATGATGAAAAAGTAAGGTTGTACATTTAGGCAGGAAAAAAAATGCACAGGTACAGTATATGTGGTACCTCGCTCAATAGTAGTAACTGTGAGAAGGATTTCGAAGTCCTAGTGGACAATCATTTAAATATGAGCCAACAGTGTGCTGCAGCTGCCAAAAAAAGCCAACACAATTCTAGGCTGCATAAACACAGGGATAGAATCAAGATCACGTGAAGTGTTAATACTTGGTAAGGCCACACTTGGAATACTGCATCCAGTTTTGGTCACCACAATGTAACAAAGATGTTTGAGACACTAGAACAGGGTTGTCAAACTCACGGCGTCACAGCAGCATCACGTGACGTATCATGACTTTTTCCCCCTTCATTAAACTGGGCGTGTGCATGGCCAGCGCATGATGCCTCAAGTTTGACAGTCCTTCTCTAGAAAGAATGCAACATATAAAGAACAGTTGCTGGAATTGGGTGTGTCTAGTTTAATGAAAAGAAGGACTAGGGGTGACATGATAGCAGTGTTCCAATATCTCAAGGGTTACCACAAAGAAGAGGGAGTCAAGCTATTCTTCAAAGCATCTGAGGGTAGGACAAGAAGCAATGGGTAGAAATTAATCAAGGAGAGAAGCAATCTAGAACTAGGGAGAAATTTCCTGACAGAACAATTAATCAGTGGAACAACTTGCCTCCAGAGGTTGTGAATGTTCCAACACTGGAAGTTTTTTAGAAGAGTTTGGATAACCATTTGTCTGAGGTGGTGTAGGATTTCCTGCCTAAGCAGGGGGTTGGACTAGAAGACCTCCAAGGTCCCTTCCAACTCTGTTATTCTGTTACTGACCATCAAAATTTTTGTCACCCCAACTCTGGAATGTAACACCAACTCATCTTATTTCACATTCAGTAGGGCTCTAGTTATTCCCCTTGTTTCTTCTTTAAATAAAAGCTTTCCTTGAGTTCCAGTTGGTAAACCTTCTTCTGAATCTGTTTCTCATTCTTATTTATTGAGACCATACGTCTGTTTTGCTCTTTTTTGTCACCTCATACACAGGTAGTTCTTGACTTACGACCACAATTGAGCCCAAAATTTCTATTGCTAGCTAAGACATTTGTTAATTTACGACCTTTCTTAACAGTCATTAAGTGAATCACTGCAGTTGTTAGTAACATGATTGTTAAGTGAATCTGGCTTCCGCATTGACTTTGTTTATCAGAAGATCACAAAAGGTGACCACATAAACCTGGGATACTGCAAACGTCATAAATATGAGCCATTTGCCAAGTATCTGAATTTTGGTCGCATGGTCACAGGTTGCTGCAACGGTCGTAAATGTGGAAAATAGTCGTAATTTACTTTTTTTAGTGCTGTTGTAACTTGGAATTGTCACTAAATGAATTGTTATAAGCCGAGGACTATTTGTATCACAATCTTAAAGGCTTCTATCCTCATTTATAGCTCAGGTATATTTACTGTATTCATTTTTTTGAATACTATAATGTGTTTATATTTACTGAATATGCATTCTTTATTCTTTCAAGATAAGAAGAAAAATGTTCCATAGGTTTTGTACCTCATATCTGCACAGTGTCCTCCAGTTATTTTCTCTTCTGTCTTTTGTGCTGTTACCTTAAATGGAAATTTCTTAGATATCTCATACTTGAGTTTCCATGCTGAATTTTATTGTCAAAACCCTGTTAGCTCTCCATTTGCTGAGTGAATTTGTTCCCTAGAAATTGGCTTCCTTATATTTCTTCCATAGTGTCTGCTTGCTCTGCTAGAAGTAGCCACTCAGAGCAGGCAAATGGCAGCTCTTATTATATATACACCTTAAAAAAATAGCTATTCAGGAGATTACCTTCTCCATCCAAAGTTCCCTGGAATATACATCTTTTTTGTTCATTCCCTTTGCTTTACCTTTGTAGTCCTGCCAGTTATTTCTGATTAACTGAATTATATTACAGACAAAATTACGGCAAAGCTTATTTAAATGCCCAGTGACAACTAAAATTTATTTTTGGAAAATGTCACCAACTTCTTTTTGGAAGGACAGATTCTATATATTGCTGGAACTAAACATTTTCAATCTTTTTCCATTTGTCCATCCATTTTTACTACAAGTGATTATTCATACATAGATTTTGGCAGCTCTAAAAGAAGATAGTTCTCTCTTTAATTCATCCTAAATAGAAACTAGTTTCTACATTATTCAGAGAAAGCACTATATTTACCTTTATAGAATGAACGCTTCCTGTAAATCTAAACAGTTTTAAACAAAAACTAAATGTCAGACCTGCCCCAATCTGATCCCTTAGGAAAGAAAGACCCTTGGCTCCATTCGATTAAAGCAAAGGGTTCTTTTACTGAAGGTGTTGGTTGCATGTTTTGAGAATGCTGAGGCGTTTGGGGGTAATCCACATATTTTCTCAAGGTACCTGGCCTTGGGATGCTGGTACAAACTGGATCTGGATGCTTTGGTCTTTATCACCTGTCATTCCCCCTTCCCAATTTCCCATCATATACACACACAACTTTATTGCTCTTCCATCCTCCTCCCTCCCTTCTAGCCTTAGATGGTAGGATGCCTGTGAGGCGCCAAGCTGAACCAAGCAGAGCTGACATTAAATGTGCCTTGGAAAAAACCCAAATATCTCAAAATAAATTGTAGGCATGTCCAATTTGATTACATTTATCTTACTTTTATTTCAGTTTTAGGGGTTTTACTTTCTAAAAATGGGAAAGAAGCTTGACCTTTCCAGGTTAACAGATGAAGAGGCCAAACATGTTTGGGAAGTAGTTCAGCGGGACTTGGATCTTCGCAAAAAAGAAGAAGAGCGTTTAGTGTGAGTATTTAAAACCATAGAAATGCTTGGTGACTTGTCAAATGAAAATGCAAACTGCATTTTAATATGCGTTTCAAGCTGTTTTTTATTTATATTGAACCATATAAAAATATTATGGAATATAATCCAAATTATACCATCACAAATTATTTATTCATATTTATAATGTTGCTCATTTAATAAGCCCCCCCCCTCCCTCTCTCTCTCTCTCTCTTTATATATATATATATATATATGTATGTATGTATGTATGTATATATATTTGTTGGAAATTGGAAATATTTCCCATTGAAAAGTTGATAAGAACTTTTAGCGAAATATGATACTCAACACATTTGAATGCTGGAAAAATCTATAGCAGCCATTGCTTTGTTTCTGTACCCATGAGGGAGAGTGGAGAAAAATTTGAATGACTTATAGTAAGGTTTGATGTGTAAAAGCTTTGTTAGGTTTGATAGAGGCTTTGACTAGACTGGACACATTGCCATACAACAAAATATATGCTTTTCAGTGCTGGGTTTTCTCTTGAAAAGCTAACATCAGTATGGGAAATAAGAGGGGCGAATATTAAGAAAACAGGAAAGCCCCATTCAGCCTTGTTAAAGGTTTTATTTATTTTGTGGGAAGAGTCTGTAAGTGATTCATCAAAATGGGAGGCTCCTTAAAGTATACATTTATATTAATAACTCTATCCATAATCAGAAAAAATAAATATTTTCCTATGTCCATGGTGAGCAGACTGTACTCTTGAGTGGTTCAGGAAGAGGAACATTTTGGCCAAAATAAATGAGGGAATCATTATCGTCTAATCATTCTAAATCTCCCCAGAGGCAATTTGGACTTTGTATGTTCATATGGCAGAATAATTCAGAATGGATTCTTGTAACTGGCCCTCATAGGCCTTTCTCAAAAAACAGATGGATTATTCTTGCTATCTAGGCCTCTTTGGGCCTCTGGAAAGCTTCCCCTTTGGCTTCTACTGCCCACTGACTTCCACCTTTAAGATGGGCTTATGCTCTTCCTCACCCCCCCGCCTTTTTTTTTTTTTGAGAAAAGCAGCAACCTGAATTATAGACCCTAGGTGCTATATAGAATGCAGCTTGCTTATTTATTTATTTATTTATTTTTGTTTCACGTACCAGAGCCATCAAAATAGCTCACTGTATAGAATAAACATATGCAATAAAATCATAACCACAATAATGTCATAGTTTAGTATTAAAGATCCAAGAGTTAATGCCAGTGCAACATGTAGAGTACAAAATTAAAAAAAGTCAAGTCTGCTGAAATAAGAATCCTTTTATCTGTTGGCCAAATGTCTTGGCATGGCTCCTGCACACAGGGTCTGCCTTGCTACTAAAAACAAACTCTGGTAATGATGACTTTTTTGAGAGAAGATATTGTTTTCAACAGTCTCACCGAAATGATTAGGTTTTAGGACAGGGGTCCCCAATTTATAGGCCATGGCCCACCGCCAGGCCATGGCCTATTCACAACTGGGCTGTGTGAGTAGCAGCTGGCGCACATGCAGCCCCAATCACATGAGTGATGGGTGCCAGCACTCGCAGCCCTACTCGCAGTCCCGCCCGCACAAGCGTTGACGCGGCCCCACTTGTGCAAGCGGCATCCCAAAGGCTTCTCTTTTGTGTGAGTAGAGGTGTGCGTGTGTGCCAGCCTGCCGCTTTCGCAGGCTGGTTCCCCTCCACCCCAGCTGGGCCGCCAAGTCGCCTGCTCCCGATGCTTCAAAAGCGGAGTAGTGAGAGCAGAGGCTGGGTGTGACGAGCATATCCTGCTCAGCTTTGCTGACTCACTGAGGCTGCCTACGCAGGACACCCAATTTGCTTTTGGAATGTCAGGCAGCCTTGGTGAGTCTGAAGGAGCACGAAGCCACAGCCCCAAAGACTTCTCCTCATCAAAAACTGTTGCAAACAGACGAAAGGCTTTGGGGGAATGATCTCTCACTGCTTCAGGCCTTCCGTCTTTTGCAAAAACTTTTGCCAGGAAGAAACCTGGAGCAATTGAGACTGCACTCCAAAGGCTTCTCTTCTATCTTGTGTGAATGGAGCTGTGTGCATATGCGCCAGCCTGCTGCTCATACAGCCCAGTTTTCCTCTCCTCCCCAGCCAGGCCGCCAAGTCACAAAGGTTGGGACCCGCTGTTTTAGGAAATAAGTATCACTTCAGCTGTGTCAAAAAATAGACTAGATTTCAGGAACCTTGGAAGTCTTTTAGTCCAACCTCTGCTCAAGATAGGAGATCTTATACCATCCCAGACAAATGGTTGTACAATCTTTTCTTGAAAACTTCCAGCAATGGAGCGCGTACAACGCTGGGAGACAAGGGGGCCTGCATAAGCGCACCGACGTGCCTACCATCCCTGTCCTATTTTTTTCTTTTTCTTATATGTATCCATTTCATGTATTCATAACTATGTTTATACTTATACCTGTTATCTTATAATGGCTTGACAAAATAAAATAAAATAATAAAATAAAATAATACATAAAATAATAAAATAAAATAAAATAAATAAAATAATAAAATAAAATAAAGTTGGCTAATTCCTGTCAGGAAATGTCTTCTTATATCCAGGTTTGAATTCCCTCTGATGAGCTTCTACCCTTTGCTTCTTCTTCTGCCCTCAGTGCTTTGGAGAATAAGTCAACCCCGTCATCTCTGACAGACCCTCATGTACTTGAAGATAGTTAATCATGTCATCTCTTCATTAGACAAGATGTACTTAGTTGCCTTAACCTTAATTTAACTTAATCTGAATTTGAGAACAGTTCTCAATTGTGCTGAAATATCAAGAGACTATTGAGTAATAATAATTTATTAAACTTGTATGACATCTCGCAACAATCAAACAAAAAATTACAGTAAAAGCAATAAAAGATTAAAAGATGGCTAATGGGTTGAAGCTAGGGGTCTGTCTCCCTTATCCTTGCCAAAGGCAGCGAAGTGAGGAGCTATCCAAATCTCAGGGGGAAATCTCTCACAGGGTAAGTGCTGTTTACAGAGAAGGTGTGCTTTCAGGGCCCCAATAGATGACATAGGATGCCAAGTTTGCAGGATCAAATTGGCTGGTTAGATTGTTATCTACAGGCGGTCCTTCAGTTGACCACATCCTAGGCCATGTACTTTTTCCATCCTAATTGTAGCTATAAGCTTGATAAAATGAGGCCGAAATAGTGATGAAATGTAAGGTGTGAAGTGCCAGATTCCCCTACATAGAAGCAAGATTTTCTTGCAGCTTTTAAGCCAGACCCCTCTATTCATGCCCTGATCTACCAGAATTGGGTAGATGTAATGAATAAACAAATGTAGTGGTTCCCATCACATTTACTTAAGATGCAGAAGGTCTTTTCCATCTAATTATGGAGCCACTTAAATCAGTAGGATGAAATGAACTGGGTTTCATGAGTAGATAGATAATAGGAGCTTTCTTGAGTTACTCAAATAAATTATTTTCTATACTATAATAAAACTGAATAACCTCTTCATAGCAGAGCCTCCTTTTTTCATTAGGTTCTTTTATGCTGTAAAAAGTAGGTGCAAATGATTTGATAGATGTTATCTTACTACACAGAAAACCTACATTTTAAAAACAAACTGGTAATCAAATTAAAATTCAGCATTTATGAAATTATTCACATGTAACTCTTGCATACTTACTCTCCAAGGCTGCTCATTATGTAAACAAATGTTCTGTACAAACCTAGAATTACTTTATTGTGCTGATATCCATGGTCAAAAGAGAGTTTCAAAATGCCACTTATTTAGGCATTGATACTTTTCATATGTATAAATGCTTAACTTCTATAGTTGCCTTGTTGAGCCCCTAAGTTAATCTCCTTTTTTGTCTGTGTACACAATGTATTTACTTATTTATTTGGTCATACTTCCAGACATTTGCAAAAACAGAAAAAGCAAACATCTCTGTGCAGTGTTGCTAGTTAATATACCACAGGAGCAACATTAATATCTATAGGAAAATTTTCCAGTTATATTTTCCAGTCCTACCCACCTGGAAATAAGCCATCAAGGACCTGTCCTACAGTACAAATACTACATTTCTTAATCATCACCTCAAAGACAAACAAAAGATGTTGTGTATTTCTAGCTGTGCTGAAAGCAAGCAGAAGTCTATCAGACAATCTGGCAGATCTGTGCTGGTAAAATCCAGCTTAAAAGTGTTCATTTATGTGAGATGTTGATTGGAATATATTTTTAGTTCCTACAAACTGAGATTACTATTCCATATTCCTTTACAGGGCAAAGATTTTGACTTCAGCACAGGCCAGGAAAGGAAGATTTAAAGCCCCCCTCCTCGCTTAAGTGCTGTTGACCCCTATCTAACTCTAAGCAGATGCTGATTATTTGTTGAGTATATTACTGTACATAGGCTTTTAACAATAAATCAGTTGAACCTTCATATGTGGACCTGCTCTTTCATGCCTGACAGCCACTGTGCAAATCCATTCTTCTGGATTTATGCTGAAAATACTCTACAGATGCCTAAACCACTATAAGAAAGAAATAGAGCTAACCACATTATTCTTAGTGAGTCTAAGTAGAATCCAGATTTTGTGACTCAGGCATATTCTCATTCAGCAATTAAGAACCATGAAGAGAAAGCCCCTAATTTGAATCTGACTTCTGCTAATATAGTCTAAGATGCTGTATTTTTTTACCCTTGGCCACCCACCATCTCAATAAACAAGACAAAGTTGATGATGACAATGATTGATGATGATGATAATAGTTTATCGCATAGGGCAATGATGACATCAGTAAAGTTTATGAACTTTTAAGTATTTGTTTTGCAGGGAAAGGTCACAAAAGACAGATTTACCAGATTTCTTCAGAGGGTGTTTGATTCATACTTTGAGATCTGTGGTTTTAGTGTAGGATGTAGATAATAATCATTCCATGGGAAACCCAATTTTTTCTCTCCTCAAGTCTAGATGACTAAGCTAAATAATGAATACAATTTCAAATGATACCCAAATGCAGTCTCTAGTTCCCACACATTCTTTAATGTGCTAAGCCACAGAGTTGGCACCAAACGAGTTAAAAAGCAAACGTAAATATCAGACCCAAGTGGAGGGATTGTTCCAGTGGCTTCATCTGTCTAAGTGTTTCTCACTCTTAGCAATTTTAGGAAGCCTGGACTTCAACTCTCAGAATTCCCCAGCCAGCAGGAATTAAAATCCACATATTTTAATATTGCCAAGATTGAGAAACACTCATGTGGAAATTGGGTGGAAATTGGAGCAGGAAAAGTTAACCCAGGGAGTATCTTCTGGAGCTGGATTTTTATTTTTATTTTTTGGTAAATTTTATTTGAGTTTTCACAGAAAAAAAATACAAATAAAACATCTTTTTTGAAAGTAGCGTAATCCCGGGTTACATTTCTTCGTATAGACACAAATTCAATTTCATGCTCATTTTTATGTTCTATTCCATATCTTATACTGTTTTGCGTTTTCTACATAGCTTCTCCCTTCTTTTAATTTTCTCAATTTTATTTTAATTATCTCATCTCAATTCAAATCATTATATTTGTACTTTTTGTCTGTCCTGTTTCAATTTCATATTATCTTTTCTCATTAAACGAAGTTTCTCCTGTAGTTACTGATTGGAGTATGACACCTTTGTATCTTTTAAGTTTATCCATTTAACTCTTATTTAGGCTTCAATATATACCTTAAAGTTTTAACATTCAATATAATACATAACTTCCATTCGGATTCTGCTTGGTACATTCTTAAAATACACACTATATTCTTTTTAAAAAGATTATAAATATATGTAATTAAAACAACACATTCCATTCCAATTCAATTCTATCATTAATGTTAATATTCATTAAAATCTTAACTTCTTTAACATTTCAATTAAATATCATACTTCTATGGGAACAGTTATAAACTTACCATGATTAATTCCCCCCTCTTTTCACTTATATTTTATAAAGCATTAACTAATTAAAATGTTCCTGTCCCTTCCTAATTCAATTTTCTCATTTATTTTATTTCATTTATTTTATTAACAAACATTTCACTAAATTACACAATTTTATCCCTCATTTTAATCATACATTGTTTCCAATTTTCTAAAGTTATTTCTATTACTACCATGTTTCTCCAACAATATGGCCTCCACCAATAGGAAGGCCCAGCATGTTTTATTGGCATAAAATCAAATTAATCCCCTCCCCCAAATTAAGGCCTATATTAAACATGTGAAATGGGGGGGAATGGCGGGGGGGCTTGCCGTTAGGAAGTACTTTTGTTGCATACCCTGATATGGTGCTGCCTGCATTGGTGGGGCATTTCGGATCGGGAGACCTTCCGCCACCATTGCTTTCCCTTCTCCCTTGCCGCCGCAGTATTTAGAGCAATGCCGCGGCATTTGGCGCCAGCCAGGGCTCCTCCCTGCAACCGGAGCCCTGTGGAGACACTCGGCTTCAGGCGCTCCTGCCACCGCCTTCCCTTTGCCTTCGAAGGTAAAGCCAATTCTTTTAAAAACGACACCCTACTACAACAAAGCCTCCCCTGCCCGAGAGGACAGCCCAACCCCACGTGGGGAGGCAAATCTCCCAGGGCCGCAGTGCAGGATTGGCCCACCCTGGGAGAAGCACCCAGCCACCATCCCTGCCTGGCGCCAGGTAGAGCACGAAGAGCTTCACCTGGGGTGCCCAGCACAGCTGACAGGCGAGCCCTCCTTCCCAGCGGCAGAGCTCTTGCCAAGGCAGCAAGCGCCTCCCTGCCGGGCCCTCCGCTCATCCCACCAGGACCGCGCCGGAGCTGTGCGGGCTGAGCAGAGCTGGGAAAGCGAGCCGCGGGTGCGCGCCCGCCTGCCAAGCGAAAGAGCCAGGCCGACCCAAGCTTGGCTTCCTTCCCAAGTCCCTTCAGCCTGAACCCGAAGGGGCCACCAGCAGAGGCTGCCCGTGGCAGTGATAGCGCCCACCCATCTGTGGACAGAGAGGCAAGGCGACGGCCTGCACCGCATCCTCCTCTGAGCTGAGCCCCACCGAGCCAGCGCCTCTGCCTGATGCCCGTTCCGCTGCAGCGTTTGGAGTTGCCAGCGCATTTGGTGATGCATGGGGATGGGGACGGGCTGGGCGAGGGGTGGAAAGGATGGGGGGCTTCGGGCTCTCCGACGGCCAGGAAAGCAGTGCTGCCATTACCTTGCCTCCCTGTCCGCGGACGGGTGGGTGCTGTCACTGCCTCAGGCAGCCTCTCCCAGTGGCACCTTCAGGTTCACGCTGGAGAGACTTGGGAAGGAAGCCAAGCTCAGGTCAGCCCGGCTCTTTTGCTTGGCAGGTGGGCGTGCACCCACGGCTCGCTTTCCTGGCTCTGCCCAGCCTGCACGGCTCTGGAGTGGCCCTGGCGGGATGAGCGGAATGTCCGGTGGGGAGGCACTCGCTGCCTTGGTGAGAGCTCTGCTGCTGGGAAGGAGGGCCAGCCTGTCAGCTGCGCTGGGCGCCCCAGGCGAAGCTCTTCACACTCTGCCTGGTGCCAGGCATGGATGGCGGCTGGGCGCTTCGCCTGAGGTGGGCTGATCCTGCACTGCGGCCCTGGGAGATTCGCCTCCACACGTGGGGTTGGGCTGCCCTCTCGGGCAGGGGAGGCTTTGTTGTAGTAGGGCGTCGTTTTTAAAATAATTGGCTTTACCTTCAAAGGCAAAGGGAAGGCAGCGACAGGAGCGCCTAAAGCCAAGTGTCTCTGCTGGGCTCTGGTTGCAGGGAGGAGCCCTGGCTGGCCACACGTGGCTGCGCCAAACACGGCAGCGTTGCTTTAAATGCCATGGCAGCAAGGGAGAAGGAAAAGCAACGGTGACGGAAGGTGTCCTGATACGAAGTGCCCCACCAACGCCAAGGTCAACATCCAAGCTGTTGCTGCCTGCCCACCCGAGGATGCCAGGGGGAGGGAATTAAGTCACCCCCGAAAAGTCGGCCTAGCCATTTTTTCGGGGGTCAAAAAAAAATAAGGCCCGGCCTTATTTTGTGAGAAACACGGTAATATAACAATACAATCTGATGTACCTTTACATTATCCCTTTTTCAGTTAAGTTTTCACCCATTATCTCTAAATAGGCTCTGTTTCTCTATACCTTGTTTCGGTCCTTTGTAACTTCTTTTCCTTTCCTTCTTCCCTCTCTTCTTCTCTCTCCCCTTTTTACCCCCTTGTCTCTCTACCTCTATTTCCCTATTCTGTGTTCCCCTCTTCTATTGCTTTCCAGTATTATACTTATTTTTTGAATTATTTTTCTTTTCTTTGGTTGTTTTTTTAAGTCTTAAATTCTTCTCTTTCCCCCCTTTCCTTTTTCTTCCCTACATAGAATGACTTGTTCATTAAAGAGGGCTTCTTCTTTGTCCCAGTCTTCTTGTTTTGCAGACGTTTCTTGTTGTTTTTCATAGTTCCAAATCTCAATTTCTAAGAATTGAAAAACAAAGCCAAAAGAACCCCTCCCTTCTTGTGCATCTTCTTTATACTTTTTAAGTTCCATTTTCAATTCATCCAAAAGTAGTGCCATTGTATACATTTTTAAACAACCACCCGATCAATTTTAGTCCTTCAAATGTAATAACCAAGAATCCAAAGATCACCAAGTAATCCAAATACACACAAGCTGTTTCTTTTTGCTTTTTTTTCACTTTCTCTTCCTGAGGTTCTACTATTTAGTTGCCAAGTTTCAGTTAAAATGTATCTTTTAGAAGTCTTGTTGAAGTTTTACTGTAGATTCCTTTCAATTCCAGGCAGTCTCCTCCCTCTTTCCAGATCCTGCCCTTTTATTCCTTTTCTCTCCTTTCCTGCTTATAAAAAGTTTTTTAGTGTCCAGAAATCTTAATTATCCCTTTGACATTTTCTTTTATTTTCAGCTTAATTGCCTGTTGATGTCAAAGCGGATTTTTCCAATTTCCTATTTAAGTCTCTTAGTTGTTAGTATAGGGAAAGGGAGAGAAAAAAAAAAAAACCAAACCTTTCCCTTTTCACTTTCCCTCGCTGCTTCAGACTTCTTTGGGAACGATGTTATTTTTTTGTAACTTTAAATTCCAGGGTACCTTAGTTGTTGCTTTTGCAATTTAACCCGGTCAGCCAAAACTTTCACTTCTTATCTTCCTCTTGCACATTCTTTTCCGGTCAAGTTCTTTGAGGTGGCCATTTCTGACCACCGCTGCAACTGCCTTCGGGAGAGGGAGTAATGGCCAGCTGAGGAGGAGAGATGCAGCTCTCCTCAACCCTGCTGGCAGTCTCCCCCCCTCTTCACCACCTCTACTGGGTGGCTTAGCCCCAAAACCAGCTGGCTTGGGGCGCTCCAGCGGCAAGCCCAGACCGAAACCGCGCAATCGCAGATTTCTGTCTGTCACCAAAGAAGCTCAAACCAGATGTCCCGGAGCTGGAATTTTTATGGTCCCTTCTCTGCTTGCTATCTCTTCAAGAGGTGACAAATTTCTGGACATCTGGCTCCAATCCTCCAGTTGTATATCATGTGTAGGCTATACAGATTCAATATAAGATTTAATATATTCAGGTTATATCAAAAAGGATTACTTGTACCGATTTCCCCTCCCTTCTTCTTCCATTGAAGAATGGCAGATACACAGATTCCCTTTCCCTTTTAGTGTACTGAAGCCGGAGCTTAAAAGTAATTCAAAATCTATGCAGAATTACATATATGCAGATTCTTTGTGATTTTGAGAGTTCAGCTTTACATGCACAGCTTGATGGTACCTGCCCAACCTTTGCAAACCTTGAAAACTTAAATTGAACCTGGATACAACTTAGGAGATGACTAGGAAATGCCAGGTTTGTACACTATCTTAAAAAAAAAAAAACCAGAAAGCCGAAGCAAACCATTCTCATTTTCTTACAGAAAAAAACTAGATAGATGTAACCATTAAGTCATTAGAAGTATAGTATTTGGAGAAACAATATGAAAATGTTAGAGTGTTCTTGCTATAAGAAATGTGGAGTGTGTGCTTGGAATGAATTATGTTGTTGTAGGATTCTGTGGAAATTTTTTTTACAGGAAATCTCTTTATTCAGTTGATACCATAGAATAACAATAACACAGTGTAATGTAATCCCTGTATCCAAGAAATCAGATTCAGTCAGTAGCTTTGTTTAAAGGTTACAGCATGAATATAGAAGTTCAACTGTCATGAAGGCAAGAAAGGATGATTCTGTCTTCTGAAAATGGCTCATAGGTGGGAGGGAAACCACTGCATTCCTGTGTTGTGACTCCAAATGACAAAGCCATTCCAAAAGGTTATTGTAGGGTCTAGAACAACTTGCCTCACTGCCATCATTTGCCACCGCCAACAGATCATTAAGTGTTTTTGATAGTACTGATTACAATCAGACAACTCGGCGCAGTCAGCTCGCTGCAGCCAGCTTGCCATCACCAAGTCACCTCTGCCTATTCACTGCCACCAAATTGGCGTAGGACAACTCCACATTGACAGCTCACTGCGGCCTGCTGGAGGGAGAGCCGGGCAAGCGAGCGAGTGATGGACAGAGCATTGGCCAGCCTTTTTTTCCCCCACCCCTGCTGCCTCTCTGTGCTCTTCCCTTCTGCTCCCTCAGTCTCTTGCCCAGCTTTGCCTCCAGCTGTCCACGGCGAGCCTCTATGGTGAGTTAGCTGTGTGAGTTGTCCTGCAGCGACTTGGTGATGGCTAGGTGGCTGCGATAAGCTGGCCCTGCCAAGCTGTCCACGCTGAGTTGACCCATTGTAGTCAGTACTATCAAAAAGAGTTAGAGATCCAGCAGGATCCATGTATTAGTATTTTGGAAGAGAGAAATAAGGAAAGTATTAGATCACAGGTATCAAACTTGATTGTATCAAACTCGATCGCGTCACATGACGTATCGTGATTTTTTTTTTACCTTTGCCAGGGTGGGCATGGCCTGCATAAGCCCGCAGGCCGCCAATTTGAAACCCCTGTACTAGATTATCCCATCCCATTATCTTCCTTAAATGCATCTTGGATCAGTTTCATCCAGAATCATAGAAGACTTTAGAGCTTTTTAAGAGCATTCCCCCAAGTTGATAAATTGACTTTTTTTGCACCAGATTCTAACGCTGGTAACTATGGCCTCCCATCCATATCATTTCAAATAATTTTTCTATAATTGTGATTAGGAAAGAACAGATATCTCTCTCCAATCTAATCTCCCCCCTCCCCAGCAAAAGCGTGAAACAAAAACAATGGATATTTGCTGAGTATCGTTTCATGGTTTCTTTTCATTACCAAGTATATGGACATGCTCCAGTAAATGCTGTTGCATCCTTCCTATTCAGCATTGCAAAAATGAAGATACAGCTAACAGAGCAGGCTATGTCATGTGGCAGTCAAAGGCCGAGGTAGAGAAGCGTGAAAAAGTGCCTGAATCGTAACATGGAAATGCTAATGTTAGAGGCAGGGAGTGCGCTTGGATGGTAGGTTGGAGATGGTCCTTGAAGTCATGAGTTCTCAGTGTCATCTCCCTTGTGCTCTCCTGGAGCTTTTAGTTGGACTAATAGTTTCTACTATTTGCCCCTTTCCTCTCCCCAGACAAAGAGAAGGCAACAGGAAGTGGGTATAGAGCAGGGGCTCAGTCAGAAGATCAATATAAAAGAATGTATTTGGCAAATAAATAAATGAAGCAGTTTGGGAGGAAGTAAATTTAAGAGGGGATGGTATGAAATAGATTTTCAGTAGGACCCAAGGAAAAAGAGAGGCAACGTTTTAATTCTTTTCTTAAAAGCCTTCAGAGGTAGATACAATATGTACACCATACTTTCATATGCAGAGGTTGGGAAATCCTGGTACTATCAATCTATGAAAATTATGATCCTCTCTGTTTAAGGGGAAAAAATGAACAAAATTTAAACTGTAGGTTGCAGAAAGCTGCCCACTGCTGCTCTGTTTCATATAGGGAATTTGAATTTTAAGTGCCCCATTAAGAATGAATAATTCACCTTCTCATATTTTTATCTGATTAAATATCAGAAGCTTTTGTGATACCATTTACTTAAATATACAATATTGACATTATTAATTTTATTATTACTGATTCATTTATTATGGCCACTCACACTAGAAGACTCTGGAAGGCTTGCAGTATTGAGAAATGCA